GCCTATCATGTAATGGTGAATGCCTATCATGTTATGTTGAATGCCTATCATGTGATGGTGAATGCCTATCATGTGATGGTGAATGCCTATCATATAATGGTGAATGCCTATCACGTTGTAGTGAATGCCTATCACGTTGTGGTGAATGCCTGTCATGTAATGGTGAATGCCTATCATGTAATGGTGAATACCTATCACGTTGTGGTGAATGCCTATCATCTAGTGAAAACGACTAGAATAGGACAGTCATGGCTTTCCATAAATATGTGTCTATATACAGTAACTTTTGTGAGAGTCCAATCTCATGATAGACTCTCGTTCTATACATGCTGTCCCTTGTTCATCCAGTATAGGCAGGTTTAGACACGAACTGATGATGATGATAAAAATCATTTAGCCGAACATAGAGAAAAATATCAACACAACTCTGGTTGTCTGGTGTCATGTTGTTACAGAATCTTAAATTCGAATTCAAACATGGTATTATAAGCATATGTAAATTGCGTTATGGAAGAGAAATTCCTTTTAGATATTCGAAACCTACTAAATTACTCTAGTTGTATATATATATATTTGTGTGATTTTTTTTTTTGCATTTTTATATTTCACCGAACAAAATGTATGGAGGAAACACTTTTGACAGAGACTCCAATGTAATCGCAAATATATTCTAGCTTCTTGAAGGGATGAACAAAATTTCGCTCCCACATATATACACCATGGCATAATGGCCTGTTGTTAAGAAGGAGGATTGGCCCCACAGCGACCAAGATCGAGACCAACATTATTACATCTTAGCAACCATTGAGACATGTTTAGTGAATGATAGCTCTAAAAGGAGAAATAGAGTTGAAGAGTACATACGAAGCCTTTGGAGAGATGCACATATTCATTGAGACTCAATTAATTCACTGAGAAACATACTCACTGATTTAAATTACCTGCACAAACAAATCCTTAGCTTTCATGAGAGCTAGTTATTACACAATTTCTAAATATGCCTTGATCGATGAAATGTTATCTTACTCTTCTGCACATTAATAATCATTATTTTGCCTTAACATTGTTACCCAGGACTATGAGATATTGCAATCTTTGTAGCAACATAATGAGAGGATGTATTGTGTTGAAAACCATTACAACTGACTATTAGCTCCGGTTTGATTGTGCCATGTACTTATTAGTTTTGTTAGATCGTCGTAATCAAGTTTGTTTGCCAGGAAGAACACAATTACCATGCAACTACGGAGCCCGATGAGCATCCCTAAATTAATTCTAAATTATGTTTAAATTTTGACACCGCTTTCATAATACTTACAATGATTGGCAATATTCACTCGTGATTGGCAAAAGTCACGTGCGATTGCTAGTTCTGATCGCTAATTACATGAATGTCATGGCCAACCAACAAGCTCACATGAATGAACAGTTCATCAAACTGATTTTCAGCAAAATTCTGATTTGGGAATATTCATATAGACTATTAGTGCTAACAGCGTGCAATAGATGAACGATAGAAATACAAAGCATGAGTGAAAGTCATGTGATAATGACGTCAAGCGCGTCGAAATAAGTGGAACTTGCTATATACGCCGTGTAAAGTACTCATCGGAAATCACAGTGTACTATTGGCAGTCGTGTCCATTAGTGACACTGATACGAATTATATGTTTATCGATAAATTCCTGTCCTATACTTCTATGTAGAGTACAGTGTGGGAGGGGGGATTAATACCGCATTGACCTGTGTCGATGATAACATTAAAATTGTCGCTTTTTCGCATAAGTCTAAGATGAGTTGTTACATTGGGAGGAAATGATTAATTTTCCCAGTTGGAATTTAATGGGAAAGTACGTTAATTACGTTTTCTATGTGTTTATAGCTTACGATTTTAAACAATTTTCAAAAAAATGGAAATGGTTGTATCTGTGATATTGGCACGCAAATTACTACTCGAGCTTAATACGTCCTATATTATGCGGTCACACATTTGATATTCCATTTCTCTCATAAATCCGTTTTGCAGCTTACAACGGTTAAAAATTAACACAGTAATCGTAATTTATGAACGCGTATTCAACTTGAAGGACAGCGTCGAGGCTCTTTCGCATAAAAGACCGCCTTTCATACACACCCAATACCGTCAGTTTATAAAACTGCGATTAAGGATTATACAATTTATTTTTAGAGTCATTTACTTTATGTAAGGTTTTCATTGGTAACGTAATTACTATTTATACAGTCAAATAAAACGATGATCTTTTCGTAATCTGTTAAATGTTGCCACTATACAGACACGATTCTGCGTTGAGTATTGGGAAAATTTGAAATAAAGTCTCCCGTATATGAGGCGTTATCAAATATAATGTAAAACGGCTAAATAACTTATTGAAATATTGGTGTTTGTTGTCATAGCAACAAATAGATTTATATTACATAGATTGGATATATAGAAAATTATCATTTTACACTGCTTAATTACTCTGTCACAGAATATGTGAAACATATCAGCTTGGAGACTACTCGCATACAGTCTAGATCGCTTATTTTGTGTATCACTGTAATACAGCTCAATGTTGTTTTCATGCTCTAAAAACGACTTAACGTTAAATAAATCTATGTGAACGCTTTATAACAGACTAACTCTGACGTAAATTAAATCGCTTAAAACTGTTGTTTAGCGGAGTTCGGTCGCCATAACTGCGGGTGTATGTGAACGCATAAACGCACTCAAGTAATTGGAAGCGTTGTACACGAAGGACCTGACCGTGAGCATAAGTTCCCTTGGAATGAATCGGAGCTTTCTACCTGTAACGATTTGAACATCAAGACGACTATGAATGGTTCTTACAAAAAAGTTTCAGTTGTGTTCAGGAAAATGTCGAACGAGTTGTCAAAACTTGGTATTACCCGGGGTACATATTTAACGATCACCAGATCAGTACAAACACGAGGTGAAAATAATAGGATCAACCTACAAATAAACCGTAGACAAAAATTGCGGTGGTCAAAACAGGAAAAGTTGTCTATTTCATTCAACGCTTCTAGGAAACTATGATGGCGCTTATTTGCAAACCAACCTGCAAAGCAGTATCATTGCTCATCAGCGTGCTAATCGTAACGCCGCGCTTATATTTAATTACGTGTAGAACTTGGTAATAGTCATATTAATCTATTATTAACTTTTTAGAGGAGAAATAGAATTATACTAGTACTTCATTGTTAGCTTATAGACTTATAGACGGGTTGGGTTACCCCTTTGCTGTGAAAAGACGTCATAAATGAATGTTGGTGGGTCAGCATTTCCACTTTCACTAAATTACGCGTGTGTGTAAGTCTGACAATATCGTCGCTGAGCGATGCACCCAGGCATCAATTCATCTATTCTCTCGATAACTTTGTATAGACGTAATCAAATAATAAACATATCGTTCATCTTATAGTAGTAATGCAAGTCACTGTATTGCCAACAGAGACGTAAATGTGGTATAACATGTAGTAAAGAAACGCGTTCAATTCATTAGTATTCATTGGTACGCATGCGCCAGGTAGTGAATGATGCAACATAGTCACGTAGTGTATCGAATTGAATATATTCACTTTTCCGATGCTGTATGTCATGGGTATGACTACAGGGAATGGAATGCATTTATGATATTTGTGAAGAGAGTAGTTTTTAATTATTCAGATTTTCACTTGCATCGTGAGTAGAAGACGCGTAGTTTACCTGAGAAGTAAATTATTAAAAAAACATCCCAAAAATGAAATTATTCTGATTATTTTTGTCAATCTCTCTCGTCTTACAATGTAAATCAAGTTACTAATACGATATCGTGTACGCAATAACCATTATATGCAAATCACAGCAATACCCTTTTATTTATTCATTCAGTCTAGTCAGTCTAGTTGCAGTATAACCATGCTACGACATGGAATTACAATTACGTAACTGAACTATGATCCATTTCTACAAATAGGTTATATACACTTGCAAATATACAGATATTCTTAGATGTGTCAGTACTGTGGTTTTCGAGAGTGTATTTGACTTCTATTATGTTAAAAAACAATATTGTGAATCAGTCTTTAAAACATAATATTATTATTTTAAAAATATTTTTAATATTACAATGCGTTTATCAGTTTCTGTTATTTCTATGTCTACCCTACATAGTTTTTATGGAATAAAGAACGACGCAAAGTGTATTAATGTTTAATATCGGGGCAAAGACGAGGATGTGCGCAATAATGGGTGAGACGGAGTCGAGCTCATTATTTTAGCAAATATTCCCGTCCGCACATTATCTAGATGAATATGATTTCTTCAACTGGATAAATAATGATGGGTTTGTTGTTCAAATTATCCATAAATTTGAAGAAACATTGAGTGTTGGCGAGTCGCACGCACATAAGCTTATTTGTGTGTGTGTGTGCATTGTCCTCAAGCACTGCCTTGATACCGTCTAAAAATCAGGGCTGCACGTGGTACTTACTGACCAATGATAATGCGGCGTTTCATAATGAGCAGTCCATTATTACTTTCATTATCTTTATGAACGTAGAAAACATGACAAATTAAGTGAAAAGGCCGCTTAAAAATTAAGGAATTATATCTGTTCGAAGAAGATAGAGGGTTTATAATTGTCTCAGTACTTGTGTAGGTATGATTGTTATACCATTTACACAATCATTGGAAGTGAATCAAATACTTCATTCATATTACCGTTTAAATTTAACGCTAAATTTCAAATGCCTTCACCATCTTTAGGGGGATATTAACGTTGCCTTGGAAGCAGTGGTGTCTCAAGTTTTCGATCCACCCCATCCGAAGCTCATGTTATTTGGAGGAGTTATGTCTACTGTGACTATAACTATGGCACGAGTTTTGGCACTATGGCATGTCATCGTGGTGAGTATTACTATATGACCACCTCATTTTCCCGCAATATCTTTGCGTCAATACAAAACGTAAGGTGAATTTAGTAGTCTACGTGTATCTACGTACTGTATTTAACTTTTTGTATGACATTATCTTTCTTGTCAAAGTGTTTTTTTTATTTTATGCGTTTTCTATAATTTATGCATGCCTCTATGTTATAGTTTTCAACCAAATGAACATAACTTCCTTTGGGCTACACGTCTTGATCAACATTTTGAAAACAGAAATCTGAAAAAAAATATGTCGGTGTTATTCTGTGTTATGTGTCATGCAAGTTACATTTAGTCTGACTGAGAAAATACGAATATTGTGAAAACGATGTATCACATTGTTGCGTAATGGAAATGCACTAAATTAAACGACTGTGTTCTTTACCCTTTAGGTATCACCTCTGGCTACGGCACCGACTCTGTCAAATCGTGATGAATTCCCCGGATTCTTTCGAACACATCCGAGTCAGTACATCTACAATGATGCTAGATTGGAAATGTGTAAAGCTTTCGGGTGGACAACTGTTGCTACACTGTATCAAACGCATGAGAAATTTATAGTGGCACGTATATATCTGTTTGTCGTATAAGTTTTGATCAAATGCACGATATACGAGTGAAGACGACGTCAATATTATGATATGTTTTATCGTCAATTGAGAAAAAAACTTAAAGGGCGGCAGTCGTCGCGCCGCGCCCTATTCGATATGGGACTCATAGCGACGTATACAACGCGTGTAAAATACATTGTTTGTTTACATGAAATTCGAACACGCGCTGCGCGACGACCACCGCGCACAATTGTCGCGTGACTTCTACTACTGTAACACCCATTAGCGGACCCACTACTGATATTATGACTGAGACGGCGACTACTCGGTCTCAACATCACATTGTGTTAATTAGCTTATAGTCTGCCGTTCATTTATGTGAATACCAGAATGTCCTAGTGAATAATTCGTGGGCTCGGAGCAATTTATCACATCTGACTTCATTTTGGATAGTTTGGCGATCAAAATAAGTTGTTACCAACGTTGAAATTGCACAATGTTTGAAGGGCGGCAGTCGTCACACTGCGCATATGCGACGTTTGTGTTGATAAACATCGTTTATCCAATGCGCTCTTCTAATGGAAATATGATATAAGTATGATATTTAACCTGGGCATGTCTTGCACTAATTAACGCCGGTGACCTTCTATCACCTAAAAAATATCTAATTAAAGCTTGGCATTGCCTCAGTTTGTACTGGTTGATCTGCGCTACAGTCAAAGTCGCCATCTTTGTTGATATGAGACCCACATATCTCGCGCAGGCGTGGCACGACAACTACCGCCCTTTAAAGTTATATTTAATCACTTACAATTGCGTCATTTCATTATTTGCATTCATCAGGCCATGGACGCGTTTCACAAGCAACTCACTGAACGAAATATGAGTTTGTTAGTAACGGCAAGTTTTGATATTGATCCCAAAGAACAGTTAGCGAGACTTAAAGTAAGTTGAACTTATCTTCACATTTACCTAGTATCATCGTATAAATCACCTTCACCCCGAAGTTTTAAATTAAAAAAAAACGAATAATACGCATCACAAGTTTGTTTCCCTGATCTAGACACTTCGAAATCCATGTACCATATTACGAAATCAAGTAAGTCATGATTTGCAGACTATCACATATAACAATTGTTATTTGTTTTTCTTTAACCCCATTTCTATAATTGTGGCTTCTACAGGGTGCTGATGCTAGAATTATTGCAGCTGCCTTTTATCAAGACAGAGCATTGGAAGTTTTCTGCGAGGTGAGAGTTTTTTCATTTCGCGATTATCTATGAAGATTCTAGCTAAAGTCACAGTATTTCGCGCACTGAATTGATGTTTCGTTATTTTCTTTACTTTTAATACAACATGCACGATTTTTTTGGAACTGAATTATGTTGATGATATTTTATGATCAAAATAGAATTCACACCTTAAAAGATGTAATTACCTATTTTACGACGATTTATGTCGTTTCATTCCTTAGACTGTGTATACACCGTGAGTTTTCATACCATTTTCATTAAAATGAGTCACTAAGCGGCAGGTAATGCAAGCTCTAATGTTTATTGCATACTAGATCGGCCTCAGCCAACAAGTTTTAAACCCCAAGTTGGCAAATGAGTTGTTGCGTCCAGACATAGGCGATAACGTAACTGCACCCAGTCGGCTCGAGCAAAGATCGTACCCTCGGTCGATGCCCTTTTCATAATTAACTCAATGTTTCACAAACTGCTTTTTTCATTTCATTCAAACATGTATTGCAGTTTTGTTAAATTTTACAATTGCAGATAATTAGTAGTCCCGGCAACCAATTTGATAAAGTTTTATGTTTGTTCAATGTCAGTGGTTCAGGTGGTTTATGATCTAAAAAGAATCTCTGAGTGAATCCGAGAGAATCCAGGAGAATCCGATATTGAGTTGTACATGTCTGATAATTCGTCATAAAAGGCATTGATAAAGTGAAAAGCTACAAGGAGTATCGTATTATTCAAAAGAAGTAAAAGAGAATATTCGCCAACCTTTTGACGCCGGCCTCTGAATGAGGACAACGGTATAACCTGTTGTTTTACGATGGTAATTGATTGAAGTTTGTAAACACAGTTAGGATTTTAGTCAAGTTTATATACAATTCGTTCAACAACTTGGCCGATCCGAGTCGAGAGTTCAGATGAGCATAAGTCGGCACATAGTCAAAATCTTCCAAGGTGGGGCCCAGACAGGTTTCTTTACGGTCCGTGCAAGAGCGTTGAGTCAAAGTTGTTGGTATGCGCCGACTAGCACATGCGAAGAGTATTCATCTGAATGCAGTCTTCAAATTATAACCATTAATGTTGTCTGATGGAAGGATAAAGTAGTTGCTCGATGCGGTCTCCACAGCAAGCGGTCAGTCTAAGCGCTTTCCGCAGAGATAATTAGTACCGCATGCTGATCATCGGTCCTCGATAATGGTCAATTACTTACTTACCTGCTGTTCGCAATACATATTGCATTGCTTCAACTTCCTGTTCTTTCTCCGTGTCGACTGAACAATTGCTCTAGTTGTCTATAGTCAATCAATCAAATAATAATTAATAGTTAACAGAAGGTGTATTGCTTTCCTAGGCCAACGGTCCATATATAAACACTTCAAAACAATGCTTAAAATGTAATGTAGTCTTTGAAATTTATCAACGGTTGGTTAGAACGAATAATGTTGAGGGATTAACTCTCGTCTTAATGCGTTATAGGCTGGACAAATCAACACAAAATGATATTCATCCTCAACAAAATTAGCACGACATACTTTACAGACTCTTTCCGTATAAATTCTATGGGGTTAAACCCTGCAACAAAAACAAAAAATGCGGACGAGTTTCAGACTGCGATTTAAAAATAAATATTTCTCCAGTTGTAAGGCACTCTTGAATTCAATGTAACTTGTGTTCATTTTAAAATTATGTATATTTGTCTTATTCTTCCAACTCTTTTTTACTATTTTATCAGTGATCCCTGACGTAGTCAATGCGGTGTTTATCTCATCGGATTACAAATCTCAACTTGATGCAAATTTTAATCCTTGATTACACATCATAACTAACTAGCGAAACTAAAGTAATAAGTAAATTTGTAAACTTTTGATAACGAATCTTGTTTATGTAAAAACTCCGTGGTCACGATATGGGGTGTGCAGAAATAATTTCACCCGATGTATTCCAACTTCTTGTGACGAGCCTCTGTACTCTGTCTAAGTCTGGTCTGAATTGAGATGCTTGCTCCAAATGTTACATTTGCATAATACAGAGCTACTGCTGATTTTAGAACAAAGCTGTCAATAACCCCAAAACAGATACGATTTAAAAATCAAAGGAAAAGGTTGGGCTTGATGATGATGCTGCATGGATTTAGACAATTATTGATCATTTAAACTTGAATCAATGTTAATACTTCGCCAAAAAACTACACTTTCTGTCAGTGGCATGTATAGGAAAGAAATTTGTGAGTAAATGTGTATAGCATCGACACAATTTGCCGGGAATTTTTTTTTTCATCCGATCCAATTTCTTCCTAGTAACAACTTGAAGGGGAAAAATGCCGAGATTATTCCATCAACGATATACTATAAAAATGTTATATCATTTTGCGTTTAGTATGGCAAGATTTTTCTATTCAGTTCAGACAATGTTTGAGATGGTAATATTTTACTTTTAACGCGCGACGACCATATTTCACATGGCCCCAACAATTTTATTATAAAGCCGATTTTTAGCGCAAGATTCTTATTTTGTGTTCGAACTATATATATCTGTTGAGTTCTTGGGGCATGTTTCACGGCTGCTACGTTACTGAGCGCGCCCGCGACAAAAAGAGGAGGGGTCGATTTCAAAACCAGTTATTCATGAACTGTACTGTATGATGTCCTTAGGAAATATATTACAAATGTACATACAGAAAACAAGATGTTTTAAATTGTATTTGTGTAGAACTGCATTGTGTTTATATGAATGAAAACTACATAGATGCCTGCAATTGATAATCAAAAAATAAAGGTTGGGCTTGATAATGCTGCGTGGATTGATTATTGACACTTAAACTGCATCGATATTGATACTGCCATAAAATACGTCATTTCCTGTCAGTGGCATGTATATGACAGATCTGCGTTCCTGACATTCTGGGGAAAATATCATACAAGTACATACAAGTACACAAGTTAGATGCATGCTTTTCCATTGTGATATGGAACATAATGAAACAGAGAATGAAAGAATGAATAGAAAATATATACTATTTTCCCTAGGTTTATACAGTTTACCATGTTTAAATTAAATACTATACGTGTTCCTAAATATAAATGCACCGATCGATTCAATTCGAGCTAACAAGATGTTTATACGGCCTAGTAGCAAATGAGAAAATTATATTTGAAACTTTATTTATAATTTTACGTTTACATTTGAATGATTGCCATCTATATTCAGATTGCCGCGGTCGCTAATTTAGCATCGTTTTAAGCATAATGTATAATCCTAATAATGATTGAAATTAACAATACTGATTCTACTCAATGGACATGAGCATTTGCCAGAACAAAAAAAATCAGAAAGCAGACACTAAAAGATACTGGTTTTGTTTTTTGTTTATAGGCGTACAAAATTGGTCTGTTTGGCCCGAAGTACGTGTGGCTCGTTCCATCTAGATGGCTGAAACAAGGCTGGTGGTTAGGTACTGACGAAGACTCGGTAGATTGTACAGTTAATGAACTACTCGCTGCAAACAACGGAATGTTTGGACTCGATGTAAACGCATGGGATATCAGCAATGAACCCACAGTCAGTGGAATGGTATGCTCTTACTCGTTTATATTTATTTGACAAAAAATCAGTAAATTCGGGGAAGTGAGTGTTCGGTCTTATTCGGTGACACGTCGAGTATTAATCGAGTACGCCCTAAGCGTTATAAGTACATTAAAATCATTAAAATATGTCTCCGTATAGAGATAATAAACACATAAATGTTTTATAGCATCGATGCAATTTGCCGGGAAAACTTATTTTTCTTCATCCGATCCAATTTCTTCGCAGTAATAAAAGACAAATGCCGAGATTTTTTCCGAAACTAGTTCCGAGATTATTCTATCAACCATATACTATACAAATGTTATAGTAATTTGCGTTTAGTATGGCAAGATTTTTCTATTCAGTTCAGACAATGTTTGAGGTGGTAATATTTTATTTTTAACGCGCGATTACCGTTTTTACATGGCCCCAACAATTTTATTCTAAAGCCGATTTTTAGCGCAAGGCTCCTATTTTGTGCTCGAACTATACATATATCTTGTGAGTTCTTAGGGCATGTTTCACGGCCGCTACGTTACTGAGCGCGCTCACGACAGAAAGGGGAGTGGTCGATTTCAAAACCAGTTATTCATATACTGTACTGTATGATGTCCTGAGGAAATATATTACAAATGTACATACAAATAGCAAAATGTTTTAAATTATATTTGTAGTACAAATATATTGTGTGTTTATGAATGAAAACGTCGGCAATGGATAATCAACGTGCGCGACACAAAACTAAAAGTTGCAATTGCATAGTTACATATCTGCCTAAAACTACGCTTCCCTGATGAAAGTGAATTATCATCAAACCTCTCCCTCCCTAACGCTTCTTTTCAAACAATTGTTAGCAGAATTATCTGTGACCTGTACTGCAATAATGTTGATTTTATTAATCAGTATCACTTCAATGATTTAAATATGTAAATTAGAAATTATGTCACATTTAATCGATATCCAAACTCACATTTAACAATACAGGGATTTCAGTTTATAAATATGTGACATTTACAGACTTCTCAGCAAATTAAATCGGTGTACGAGGCAGAACAGCAGGAGGTAAATCTCTACGGGTCCCTGTCGTATGATGCCATTTGGTCGATGGCTTTGGCGTTAGACAAGTCAGAAGAAAGGTTTCAGAATGGCGAAGCAGGTATTTTGTAATATATTTCTTTACGTTACATGTTTGAGTACTGCCAATGACGCGTAACAAAAGTATATTGTACAAATAGCGGAACACTTGAACCACAATGGCGGAACCGAAATAGTTGAACCGGGACCAGCATGGAGAAACTGACATTTCAGATAATAATTATTTAGTTATTTATTATTGTTGTTAAACAATTAGAAAATAAGAAGTAAGCTCTACAAGAGGGATACAATTTGGATGTATGTTCGTAGAATTGTATGTATCCACATATTGAACACATTACATATTAGGCTGTTGTAAAATTTAATAGTAGATTCGAATCCGATATATCCACGTTACTGTGTAGATTTAAATTGTTGATAAAATTGGTTTAAATCTATTGTAGTGTATATTTAAACCATTAATAAAGATCACTATTGTTGTGGATACAGTGTCCAGGTTTTGGTATAGTTAATATTGTCTTGAGGTTGTCTCATCTGTTTTTCGGTACCACTACTCATTTAACTGAACAAAGGCAATCAAGTCTATTTATTTTTTGGTTTTTATTATTTTATTCTAATTGTACTTTTCAGCATTTGCACATTCCATGCTAATGGTATGACAACTTACACTGAATGTAAACACGATGCAGACTACGCATGACTGCTGCGATCGCCAGGAATTGCTAAACTAACGCTGATTGATATCCTCTTTTATAGGTTACCATGACAATGGTATACCCAAACAACTTCTAGATTACGATTTTTCTGACAATAATATGCTAAGAATCATGGAAGAAGAAATGCAAAATACATTTTTCAGAGGCGTATCAGTAAGTAGAAGTATGTTTTTTAAGAGGCTTGTATCGATTGGCTGAACAACCAAAACATCTAACCGACACGCCAATCATGTTTAGTGTTATATAGGAATATTGATCATGTGTATTCGTGTACGATAGACCATTCTCATTCACCGTGTGATCCCGCGTTGTGCGTGAAATCAAACGTAACAACAGAACAAAAAAGGTCATGGCGACGTCAAACGTGCGACGTGCGCCTCGACAAACGCGAAACCATTATAAGAGATCTCGCAGTGAACGTGAAATCGCATATCATATATCTGACGTTTGTAAAAAGGGTTTGGATGGCAACTTGTTCCATTTCATCATGGAAAGTAAATTTCGAATAGTATGTTTGTTCGTCAGATAAACTGTGCCCGCGATCAAGATATACATTTCCGTTTTATTTTTGTTCAAGACGTTTATCGTTTAATTACATTAAAAACAAATTTTACCAAATGCATTGCACAAAGAATATTTGGCAACCTTTAACCTGATTTGAATATTACGTTACCGTCCATGTGAAATTTATTTATTTTCACAAAATGGCCGGGACGTATTTTGTTACGTATCAAGACGCCATTCACACATGAACTGCCGACACCCAGAACACCTGAACACACATAAGTGTTCCGTGTGTGTTTGTTATTCTATAACACAAAGTCTTATAAAATAAACAACAAATTCGTTTGGAGAAGCTCGAGCACGAAAAAAATGGCTTGTGCATATAATATTATAACTTGAATAATTCCCAAATGTTTGTATTGGTTCAGCTGGCTGATGGAAAATACTCGTGACGTAAAGTCGTATCACGACTCGTCAAATACTCGCAACGTTAGAGTAGTTTCATCTCCCGTCAAATACTCGTGACGTGAGAGTTGTGTCACTACTCGTCTTTGAATCGCAGTAATGCAGTTCACATGTCACTCGTCCTCCTTTAACTGAACGAAGATATTTGATGTGCATTCGAATGTGGATTACGATTACGATTGCACGTTTATAAATACATGTACATATTCCCTCGCGATGATTGCCATTACTACCAATTTCGCTCAAACAAAGAAATATTAATAATTTCAAAAACACAACTTCGTACCATTAGGGTACAAAACATTAACAAAAATCAAAGGAAGTTTTTTTCGAGATTTATTTATTCTTGGATTTGGTTTGGTCTGTCGTCTTGTCTTGTTTCATTCGCTGATTGAATATTCTGATATTTCCCAACTGCCTCAGATATCTTGAAATATTTTCATTTCATTGCCGTTTTCTACCAATATTCAATGGACATTATATTGTGAATGAATAAATGAATGAATGAACGTACAGATACATAATTCAACTTTTCTAGCTTGAATTAATTTACTCTGATTATCGTTTGTCTGCAGGGTATAGTACACTTCGACGAGAATGGTGAGCGGGAAACGTTAGTTCACATTGAACAGAATTTAGGTGAGTTGAATGCCACAATTAACGTTACACTTACTCATAAATGAAAATAAACAAAAATGTATTCATTTTTTGCGATAAAAATATAACGGTATTAAACAGTTTGAGGTCTATTTGAGCATGTTATAATTGTAATAATTTAGTGAATGGCGGCCATTTTGTTAGATTGAGATTGGTTTCTATGGTGGAGTAATTATGCTGTATTACGAACTGTAGGCTGATGTCATACTGTCAATATATATACCGTGACTGATTAGAAACTTGATGTTATGGTCCTGAATTATTTAAAATGTCCATCAAAACTATTATTTTTTTAAACAATGTGTACTGTAGAGTTGCTCTAAAAACAGCAATTTGTGAATAATATCGCTCTAATTTTCTCAAAAATGTAACGCACAACAATTCTCTTCCATGTATACCTCGATGAATGTGCATAAAAAAAATAATAACATTGTCATGCGATGTATAACCAATTTTCTCAAAACATATATTCTACACAACAAACGTCGATATTAATATATAAGCTTATGCATATTATCATACATAAGTTACAGCGTGCCGTATTTAACGGGGTATTTTCATCCGACCATATAAGGAAATGCGAATTCCAAATATGGAATGATTACGCGTGTAAACCTCCTCCTCTAATAAAAACAAACATGGCTGCCACCAGAGTTTGACCGGACTCTACACAAAGAAGTCCGCTGATTCTGTTCTAAACTTTTTTGATTTCGGCATTCCTATGATGTATCCTTGGAAGGAAAAGGTGTATATTAATAACTGTTATTACGAGGATACCTCAAAGTATGCACTCAGACAGTACGCCGTCGCATCGACCTCCGCTTCGCGTCGGTCGATACTTCCGTGTACTGTATTCGTGCATACTTTGGGGGTATCCTCTTAATAATCTCATATTATTTGATTTCAATGTTAATACGCAAGTGTAAATTCACATTGAAAGAAGCTATACAAAGATTTATAACGATGCATTCCTACTTTTGTATGATCTGCGGAAATAATTTTACAGTCTCCTGTAAATAACATAAAGGATTTGGATTTTGTACAATTCATGAAAAATCATGTACAACGGAATCCTTGAATTGAATTTAGAAGCCCTCTTAAAGCCATAAAGAATTAAGAAACCATAACCTTGATTCAGTCAAGTGTAAGCTAGCTTCAGTACTCCGGAATTCTAGGATGTGTTGCCATACCAACTGATTTTATCATTTCTCATTGTGATCACAATCAATAGGAGTAGATATGGTCTGCACATAGTAAAAAGTAGGGATGCAAGTTTAAGGTGTATGTCCATGAAACTCATAGTTTATTTGCATTCCATATATATAGACTGTCTTGGCTTCACAATGTAACAACTAACCGCGAAAAGTGTTTTTTTTAAATGTTTTGTAGAATTTGCAAGGCTGTATATAAATAATGAAAAGTAGAATTTGGCTTTGAATTTGGCTTTTCAATTTAATATCCTATTAATGACATTTTACAAAACAGTAATTAATCTGTTTATTTTAAATAAGTGTCTGTAAAATCGAAAATGGGTGAATTATTATGCAAATTAGTCATTCTCGCAACGTGTGTTTTGTAGTTGGTCAGGAAACCTCAAAGTTGAATAGTTATTTGGGTTGTTTTCCATGAAACTTTCCCACTATGCTTGAATTGAATTTTGTTTATCAACAAAAGAGCATCTTTGATTGTTGACAACGTGTTTTTATCACTTGTAGCAATGTATCAAACAGGGCGATAACCACGTAACCAGGAGCACCAACGTATTTAACAGTTCTTACATCAATGTTTGGGAAAAAACACAAAATAATAAAAAATACTGTCGCAATATACGAAAAAGCAAAAAACATAATTGCAGGGAGTCGAGCGCTCACGAACCTACATCTATACCTTAAGCTACATAAGATGTAAATTGTCTGTGAGCCATTGAATATTTAAATGAATTAAAGAAGAACTAAAACAAGTCAATAAATAATAAATTGTATTTTAACAACCGACTTTGCTTGTATACTGATCATACAATATTTTATTTCAAGCCAGAGACTTCATTCGACAGGGTAGATTAATTCACAGATTTCCATTTCATCTGTAGGCCTTCAGGCGTTTTACGATAATAATACATTTAATATTTTGCAAATCTATCGCCCACTCATAAAACTATAATTATAATGGCTTTATCTTTTGTATTCTTCAGATGGAGTCTATCGAACAATTGGGTACTATGACAGCTCAACCGAGAATATCAATTGGACTCTTGAAATAAAAGATATCTTCACCACCACAGGTAGTATTTCCTCCTTAAACAACATAATAAGGAACCATTCTCTGTACGGAAAATATGACCGGCGGAGTTAGCTTTGTAATAGAACACCCCTCCCCCACGTGATAGGTTACTGTGAATTAAAGCGTGACCAGATAACAATAACTGTTCTTTATCGTACTTGTTATCAATCAACTCTAGGGGGCAGTGTTCCTGTCGATGCAGTTAGTATCATCTACATTACAAATGTGATAACTACAATGAACGTTTTCGTTGTCATGGCAACATGTTCAGCAATCGGATTGCTCTGGTGCCTAGGGCTACTGACATTCAACCTATACCACAGAGAGAAAAGGTATGAAAAGTGTTATCCACAGTGCAAAATAGAAAATAAAAGGTTTACTTCACATGCATTTTTATATGGTGGCATAGTAATTATGACAGATATCAAAACTAATATTCCAACATGATTTTCGCCATTAAATTACTTCACCATAATCTAAAATAATCGTCAATAAACAACCGGAAATATGTCAATTTTAAATGAAATCGTTGTAGCTATTATACAGCTGATCTGCACGCCAATTTCAAATGAACATGTACATTGCACTATATCTGTTTAAAATGAATCTTTGGTGCGATTCATTTGTGTGGCTACTCAATAAATGCTCTATTTTTAAATAGTGAGGAAGTTTTAATCTACACTTGAATCATGTTTTTGAAAAAAACAGGTTATTTACCAGAACGCTTACTGTCTTTAAAATAATATCATCCCCCGAAAAATGGGCATTGATGAAATACAGACATAAGATTGTGAAATAAAATAAGCTCACCAGACTAGCGCTCCACCCTGACAGACCAGCCAATAGACTGGTTCCCTCGATAGACCAGCCACTGCCCAGTTCCCCAACAATACTCGTCTCCACTATACTATTTTAGTGTGTAAATCTCTATATAACTTGACACGTATTTAAGTTACCAGCATGAAATTGACCCACTAAAGTTACATTCTCCAATCACATTGAAAGGCCAGACTTTTTTTATTCCTTTTTTCTGGAGTCTTTATAAGGCATTTTTTTGAGCAGGGAGGAAAAAAATAAAATTTATTCTTTTTTTCCATTAAATTTGTGTGATTCTCAAAGAGTTGTAAGTTAGATCATTGATCGGAGAGAAGAAATGAAATAAAATGTTATTCCATGTATAACCTTGTTTCTCATCTGCGCGAGACTTCGGTACTTTGATCATGATACTCCCACGAAAATGCAACCTGGGTTCGTTATGCGGCGGGCAGAAAAAAAATGAAGAAGAAAATAAGTTTTTTTAGCAATTTTTTGCACTTACAAGTCGGCGGACGCGAGAAATTACGCTGAAATAAAATAAAATTTTATTTTTATTTCATTTCGGCTCCTGTTCGCGAAACAAGGGATAATAAAAGTCTAGCCTAATATTTCTCATATAACCCAGTGTATGAAGTTACTTCAAAATCGTTCTGTGGTACTGTTTAAATTAAATTACTATTATCGTAGAACTTTTAAATGGTTAAACACATGATGTTAACTTGTTATTAGAATGGCTCCAATTATACTTCGATATCATCGATTAAATCACTGCTTGCGTACCATGGCCATACCATTATCAGCACAAAAAAACACACTAAATGAACTTTGACACAGCGTGGGAGTTTGACTGTGGTGCCAAACAGTTTGGGTCAACCCTCGGTCCTCTGAAATACTGACATACTTTCTTTAAGACAAAAAGTAGTAAAATAAGTATTATTATATGTATATAGTGATATAAAAATATGCATTCTTTTTCAGAGTGATTAAAATGTCAAGTCCAAATCTTAATAACTTCATTATTCTTGGATGTTTGTTGTTGTACACTTTGGTTATCGTGCATGGATTGGACACATCTCAAATGCAAGGCCCACTGTGTCAGGTATGTCATTGTGTGCACGTGGTAATGGTTATGTAAGCGGCGAATCTGGCCGGTAATGTGAGGGCGCTTACACTGATGGAAAGTCTGTTGGGATTTCGCGGTCAAATGACTTTCGCGTTCACCCCTCGTTTACGCAATTTATATTTATTTTTCGAAAAATTTTCATTGGAATCGCAACAGACTGCAAGCAAGTCCACGGCGGACTGTCAACTGAATGACTATTTGAGGATGTATTAAAGGGACGGTTGTAGTCGCGCAGCGCGTGGTCGAATTTTGTGTCAACAAAAATTTAGTTTTACACGCGCTGTATACGTCACTATAGTGCCACATCGAACAGGGCGCGACGCGGCGACCACCGCCACTTAAAGGGGGAGTCGTTACCTGCGCATGCGTCAGATGACCATAGCTTGTCATTGTTTACAAACAAGCGTCCACCCATGAGTCTTTGCGTTTTTAACCTGTGTTGTTATCATCGCTTGGGACTCAATTCCCGCGCGTGCGCAGGTGACGACCCTCCCGCTTTAATAAATTGGGGTCTATGACTCTTCAATCTATCTCTTACTAATTTGTTGCTCTTGTAGATTTATTTGTTCTTCGACTTTCCCTATACAACTTACGTTAAAACGATCTATGGTTGAGTATGTTATTTCAACATGGGACCTGCCAATGATACCAGATGTTTTAGCCTAATTGACAATTGTTTCATTTCGGATTGGCCTGCCAGTGATCTTTCCATCATAGTGTCATTATGGATTTAATAGATAAAAAAAAGTTACAACGACAAGGAAACCCATATGTCAGCAGTACAGTTGGGCGTGGGTTTTTTTGGAATGAGAAGTGTCACAAGTCTGAATCCTGTAGTGTAACTTGAATAGTATCAATAGTAGTCTTTGACTGAAATATCACATTATTCTGAATAATGTTACATAGTTCAAGTTAGTTGTACATTATACCAAGTATAATGTGTTAAAGCGGGAAGGTCGTCACCTGCGCACGCGCGGGAATTGAGTCCTAAGCGACGATAACCACACACGCTAAAAACGCAAAGGCTCATGTGTAGACGCTTGCTTGTGAACAATGAAACGCTATGGCCATCTGACGCATGCGCACGTGATGACTTCCCCGCTTTAATCAATGTGTTAATGTGTTATTTTCAACCAGATGTGTGGCGAGGTATATAGTCTATATTATTGGGATGTTTTTTTTTTCATTTCAGATCGAAATGTGGTTAATATCCACTGGTTTTACGTTATCCTTTGGAGCTATGTTTTTAAAAACATGGAGAATTTTTAAAATATTCACAAATAAAACTGCCCAGAAAGTGGTGAGTATGCACCAATATTAATATACAAATAACAAGTAACCCTTTGTCAAAATTAGTTCATTACTATTATTATTGTACATAGTGCAGTATTTGTTCTCACGGGTAATCATAAACTGAGTGGTTCGTAGTGAATCATAAATACTAGGCTTTCTATGTGTCTTGTTAAAATATTATATGTTACTTGTATTGTCCGAAATTCAGCAAAGTTCTGTTGTGTACCCAAGGGGGAGAACGTTTTGGTGTCTATATATTTTGGAACCTTTTGACAGGGGCAGTTAGTCGATTACAGAAAAATATCAACACACAAGATTCAAGAACGTATTAAACTCATGCACATTGTTTTGTCCCAGATTGGCTTTGACTTCACCATTAGAAATGACATGCCTTATATACTTTCAATAGTCACAGGATAGCAATCATTTCAAGTGTTTAACCTTTAGTTCACCTCTTTGAAATGAACTTTTTCCAATTTACTCGATAATATGATCCATCATCGACTTGACAAATTATAACTTTCTAGAGCCATGTACCATATACCATATACCATATACCTACTAATATGTTTACAAATTCATGGGCAATCATAGCTGATTTACATTCACAGGTAATCAAAGATAACCGGCTGCTATGCATGCTGGGAGCTTTAGTTTTCGTTGACATCATTGTGCTCCTACTCTGGCTGTTTCTTGATCCTCCTCGTCCGACTGTATACAAGCTGGAAACTAAGGTATCGTCTTTGCGATTGTGAAATGAACACTTCATGTGGAATATTAAGTTGCACGGGGGAGTAATAACAACACAGTACTCACTTGATAACACAACAATTTATTTACTCAATTTTTATCTGTTATATACAGAGAGACGTCAGTCCCGAAAATGATGACGTAATCTTTCAGACAGAAAATTGTGTCTATATATGCAGTTCGAAGAATGCAACCTTTTGGATGACTGCATTAGCTGTTTATAAAGGAATCTTACTGGTGTTCGGTGTTTTCCTCACTTTCCAGACAAGGTAGATATTTGATATATTTGAATGGTCAATCAATCTTTGATAATATTATTCTTATTGATTTCCCACAATTCCTTGCTTTCTTGAATTTGCACAACTCGTATATCCCATAATATTAACAAATTCACATTTAATATATTAACAGTGAAATGATGCGATGACTCTCTATTGTTAATTTTTATACTAGTTTTACATATGTATTGTATATCTTCATTTGATTAGTTCTATTGTATCCGATGTTTTTTTTCCCAGGAAGGTCTACATACGAGCACTTAATGATAGTAAACATGTAGCTATAGCCATTTATAATGTCGTTGTGCTGTGTTTTATTGGCGTTCCAACATTTGTAATACTACAAGATAAACCAAAGGAATCCTACGTCATCAGTGGATTATTTATATTAATTTGTGCTACAGCGACGATGGGACTGATATTTGTCCCAAAGGTAGAGCGTTATTTGTTTATATTTGTACAATTACAGTGATTGTCATTTTACCAGCAGTTATAAATGTATATAATATTCATAATTTTGTAGTTGTGAAGTGTTTAATGTATTTGAATCGTCTATTGTATTTCTGTACATTCCAGTTATTATAAGAATTTGGAATTTGATATGAACATCCAGGGATATATAGAAACTAATATTCCATGCGCTAGAGGGGTCTGCCATTTCCCTATACCTCTTTTTGAACTAATGTATTTATGTTCGTTTTTCCTGTGCTGAACATGGAAAAAATGTTAGTATTTACAATTGTACAATGCTCCACCTATAATTTGTCTATAATATTTTCAAAACGGTGTAAACTCTATTTTCACTCACAGGTTGATTAAAAATATTCAAAAACACCACAAATAAACATCAACTTAAACTGCTAAATGTGTAGAATGTGAGTTGATAATTAATGTTATGATCTGCTGATGTGTTACGTCACAGTGTGATGATGTGTACGATTAGAATTTGTATGGAACGCTGATAGAAAGTCTGAATTTCTCACTATCGTGTATTCAGTAGACTAGATGCGTGAATAGGGAATTAACTATTACTATTGCGGCAACGAAGACAACCATACAACTGTCCTGTGTTGAATATTGTCCCGATATCGCTTCACAATCTTTCCACAATCAAATTTGTTTCTATAATTTTGATCTGTGCTTTGTATAAATAAGTGTTATTTTATATCTTGTTTTCATTACTATCACTTTTCTATGGAATCCTCTCAACAGAGATTTCCCTTCACTAACTTCAACTTTTGGATTTTGGTTTTGTGATCAAGATATAATATTTTGTTGAAGATTCTGTTTTTGTTTCTATTGTTATAATTCTATATTTCGGTGGTAGATGGTGCTAATGTATTTAAATAGGAGAACTGAGTGAAAGAAAGGAAATATTCTCTGATAAAGGGTTAGGTAATAGAGGTCTCAGACACATTGGTATTACCTTATAATTCATTTTACTCAATTCATGGGATGAACTTTGGATGTTTTTCATGCGAGAGTTGTCGGGACTAACCGACAGATATTAACAAACGTCTCATAAATATATACTAATGTTTATAAATAAATACAGAAATAATGTATTGTCATTACAGTGGCGTAAAACCGATTATGCATACAATAACAGGTTAATATATTGTTAAAATCATATGTTTGGTATCAACGTCATTTGTACAATGTAGAACTGAGTTTTCTAACTTAGCCCAGTTGATTGCGATTCAGAATTGAGTATGGTGGATTCCAGTTCTTGATTCGATTATATACTCACTTTTTTCGAAACACGTGACATCACTTCTTATTTACCATGAAGGCCATAGATTTTACACACACTGATTTGATTATGTACTGGGGTGTACTTCTCATTGTTTTTTGTTTGTTTTTTCATATCAAATGTTTGTCTGTTGTTTGTTTTAAAGGATTGTAGTATACTCTTTTGTGTTGTCTCTTCGACTTAATAAACTTTAATTTCGATATTGTGTTATAACATTAACAATAACAAATCAGGAAACCGTTTGGACATGTTGACACATAGCTCTTGACCTATATCATACTTTTAATATACATACATTCAACTATATTTGTATCTTAATTAACTCTTTCCTGTTGATTTATATTAAGATTATCTTGGTGTATCGTGGAAATGCTACAGTTGATGTGCAGACCAGTGAACTAACGGTATCTTCGATAGCGGAATGTCAAAAATGCCACGCTTTGAAACAAGAAATGAAATTGGTTAGTAACTTAATGTTTCATCACAGTAATACTTTCTAAGTTATAATAGACTTATTGCGGGTGCGCCTTGGGTGTTTTATATGCTAATTTATGTGCGTTACCTTATAAGGTAACATCAACATAAAACGCGTTGCACATTCGCAAATGTTTAAAGAATATTTTACACATTCTATAAAAGGAAATCTTATAGTGTGGAAGTTTGATATTGAAATATTAACTGGTCTGATCTATGTGAGGACGCCATACACGTTTCTTTGACGTATGTTAAAATGAAAGAACATCAGATAATCATTTGGGACTCGCACTCACTCTAAGACTGCTACTACTATAAGTATGTTTTTTTTTCCTAAGAAAAATATGCGTCTAGTGTATATGTTGTATTTTTATTATATTTTCAATTTTACAGTTACCGGTGATCACTGGACTGGGTAGCTGCGGAAATACATAATTAGAGCGGGAGGGTCGTCACCTGCGCACGCGCGGGAATTGAGTCCGAGGCGACAATAACAACACACACTAAAAACGCAAAGACTCATGGGTAGACTCTTGGTTGTAAACAATGACACGCTATGCCCATCTGGCATGCGCAGGTGACGACTCCCCCGCCTTAAATGTCTATGACAATTTCTGTACTAGTGTATATGTTGACACATTTTATGTGAACATTTGCTGTGTTTACATCGACCAGTTATCATATTGTGATTTGATCTAATCTATGTAACACGGGCTTACACAGTTGTTTTTAGGCTGGGGTTGCGTAATATAAAACGTCTTTATTTTGCTCACAGATTAAAAATAAACTGGTGAAAGCGGATATCAAAACATCAAATCGGTGTGAGCCTACTGTGTGAAGAACGGGGTGCAACGTGCCTGTAGGATATTCTACAGTTGATAACATATTTTGACAATTGTATCTACCGAAATATTAGTGTTATATTGGAAATACTCTCTGAGATGAGATTTTATCTTCAGTGCAGATATAATAAATAAATGGACTTCATTGAAAATATATTTTACCTATCGTCACTTCTTTTCGGTTAGCATGTTGTCAGCGTGTAGAAATCATACACCATGTACAATAACACGATAAACACTGTTTCACTTTCATTACTGATTCAGAAGTGATACTATTTGGCACTGGTCACTGACACTAGAACTAAGTGCTGAGCTGTGTCACAAAATACCCGTAGTTGTCACTCGTAGGACAACGTTGCTTTATTGAGCTGTCAGTTTATTCCCTTGTTCGTATTATTGGCAGAGATAACATTTCGTTTCTAGATCGCTTGAGGTCTCATAATTGTAGAAATGATTTTGACAATGTAGGGCAGTGTGACATACGGGGGTTGTCAAACTCATCTCATTACCAATATGACAACGCCGCGTGTAATTTCATGGATGTATCGGAGGGTATTTTGCTCACCAAAGTCAAGATTTATTGATCAAAAATAAGTGAAATAAATGAATATATAATGTAAAATAGGTAAAATGTGACGTTGTTTGACCTTCCAGTGACAGATTTCCAAACGATGCAAGAGAACACCGACTCTGTAATCTCAATTGGCGATTTCCGAAAGCGGTTGTTTAGCTGAACTTGTTTTCCGGTCGCAAAGTTTCAAATTGTTATAGAAGATGTATTTGTCTCGGACAATTCCCTCACTGTACAATCTACGTGGACAGAAAATATATTTTACATTAGATTTCTGATCGTCCCAACGTTTATTGTCTACAGTATATACTACACTAGACATAACATTGTACCTTTCATGAACAATACAAAAGCACTCTAGGTTTTTATGTTAACAAAGAATTCTTGATTGTTAATTGAACAAAAAGAAGTGTTGAATATGAGCCTGAGGAGAATAAGTTTTTGATCAGACAGTTACATTACCTTGACTACTGTCGCAAAATTTGACGTCGGCTTCCCTATTTTGTTCTTCTGATTTTTTAGTAATTGTGTTATGCATACTCGAGTAACTTGAATATACTGGTATTGGTCAATATAAACGTATTGTTATTACAGACATCCTATTTAGCGTGATTTCAATGTAGGTATGTATTAACAATGTATTTCCTGCATGTTTATACAATGTATTTCGACATTGATAAATTAAAGAATATTTTTTTTTACGGAATTAATTTTGTTTTGGCAGTATGTTTATACAGAAGCCTGGTGATCCCAGTCGAAAAGTGATATGGTCGCCGCATATTATTGGTTTCGTCTCTCTGGGGCCTTATCCCAAATGTGGTACTACTGGTATATTACAAGGCCATTGCTACCGGTGATGTAAAATAATAATAGATTTACTAGTAGTTTGTTGTGTTGCGCTTATATCGAACGATTTACACGCATGATGTCACCCGGAGCATTCGCCTGGTGTTCTAGTACCATCTTCGCCTATCTACCAAATAAAGCTCCAAAATGAGACCACTACAGTACAATTCGGAAAACTAAATGAGATCTATGATGTAGTATTACACGATACCTGAATGAGACATCACGTCAATAACGTCAATAAAATAGATACCATACACACTTATAAATATTGCATATTATTTATTAAACACATACCCCGTTTGGTTTTGGAGAAAGCCACCATATATCAATATTTCTCTAGCAGATACCCCGTTCACATGATCCTTTTTGGCGTAAATTCATACCCCGAACTCTAGAACGCAGCCAGGCCACCCAACTCACCGGGATATATTATAAACTTAGTTATTTGTTTTTCATTTGTATATATTTTTTGTACTGAATTTATACAGGATCCCCTAATGTCAGTGACTGGGAAATCAAAAAGACACACAGACACATTAGTACGCTGATGTCATGAAGTGTTTTATTTGTCATTTTTAAATAGAAATAGGACCAATACAGAGGTAAATCGATCAAGTCTTTGGATTTTAGTGTTCATCAAATAATGTTTTTTTTTGGTCCTATTTCCCATGTTAAAAGAAAGATATCCTTTGTCAAAATGCCACATTATTATGCCAAATAGCTAAATGAATACATAAATAAATAAATAAGTGAATAAATAAATTAGTGCTGCGCTATATCGTCATTGGAAGCCATTTTAGCGGTCATCTTGGATTGTTTATAATATTTGAACACATCTGAACATGACCATCATCCTGTCTTATCTAAAAGACATGAACCCGTATAGACTGCAGATTCTCAGTCATTTGATATTTAAAATATAAAAAAAATCCAACATATAAATTAGGTGGACCATAATTGTAGAGGGTCGGCAAGAGATATTTTCGTAAGCTGTAATAAATTGTTTTTATTTTCGTGATAATGTAATTTAAATAAATAATAAACGTAAATTCATAGACATGATGTAAAATGTAATTAGCTATTTTATTCGTCCGTAATTTGTACAAAGATCTTAATTTTTGTAAGCGTATAAAGCACTCTCCAAATTAAATGTCGTAGTTCGTACGCAATTTCCAATTTTGTTCTTAAACACAAAGTATCAAAAATATTATAAATTAAAAATGTAATTAGGAATTTGCCTTCGAAGTGTAAAAATCTATTTTTTACTGTAAATGGAACTGTAAAAACGTGAAACTGTAACTCGTACCAGCTCCCTCCATTGTAGGTTATGTGGTATGTGGTCTCTGTGGTGGTATGTGGTCTCTGGTCTATCAAAATACGCAGTGTTGTCTATTATTCAGTTCCAGTACATGCCGAAGCTTATTCAAGAAGGGCGCCGTTATCTCACATTCATATTTAAATCAACTTTATTTTCCCAAACATATAAGATAAAATTACATTTGAAACAATTCTAAAAATCCGCCGCATAGTGATATATTCCTAAAAAATAAGAAGACAAAATACAAAATGGCGACCATTTTGAATTTATTCAAATTACACAAAATGCAGGTGGAAACATTGTACCCCAAAATACTTAGGTCATTTGCATTTGCACTTTTCTACGGCAGTCGGGAAATTAAAATGCGTTGACAATATGAAAAATACTGATTAATTTTAGAAGGATAAAATAAAGAGTCCCACTAGTGTGATCAACAAATGGCAAACACAACATTTGTATATACAAATAGTCAATTCATTTGTTTTAACAATTTCTATCAAGTGTTTCAATAAGTGTGGCACATAAATAAATAAACTTGCTGGCTGTGTTTATTTTTGTATACCTAAACAGATTTTCATAGCTGGCTTACATCTTCATGTTTGTCTTGTGTCATTCATTTGACAGAATACATACAACTTGTCTTTGCGGCTGTTATGTGTAACATTGTTGGTAGTGTATTTTGAACTTTTAAAATTGTAGGAACGAATTGAATTTATATTTATAGCATGAGAGCATATTTATACATGAGAATCAGTTGATGCAATATTTTATGGAACTCTAAATTCGTGCTGAATGTATAATAGTTAATTGGCACATATGTACTATCTCGATAATGACATTTTCTGTATTGTCTTGATTAAATAAATTATTGCACTATTATTACTGCACTAACTTTTATAAAAACCCATGTTATATTATTATACAAGGGTCATTGACCTCAATACTGTATATTAATACTGTAGTATTTAATTATTAATTGAGGAACGCGTTGGCTAGTATTTTTCTTGCCACATTTTGTCTAAATATGTTGCTGTTCTACCAGTTTTAGAAGTTTTTATACAACTCAGAGCAGAATTGTTCATACCTAAATTGTATTTAATATTTTCGCGCAAAATCATCATTGGGCAAGGTTGTAATAGTAACGTTATGCTCAATTAAAGGCAGACGAGTTACGCCCTCATCTGGCAGCGTCTCTGGTGTGTGGTCGATGGCAGAGGGCGCAACAAGTTTTGTACCGCTTGAAGATTACTAGTATCATGCAGGCCATGGTAACCATAATTACAACCAAATGCTTCATGAATATTCGAATAGTCCGCTTTTGCCAATATATAAATAACAATTGTTCCTGGACTGGTTTGCAAATTGACGATATTTTTGGAAAATCTGAGGTACTAAGTTTTCAAACATATGCCTGGCGTGGAAAATAGTTGACAAGCCCCTGTGTGCTGTGGTGCCGCAAAGACTGTCAACACCATATCAGTACATGTCATTAGTGTTGGCAACTCTTCAGTTGGAGCAACGCCACTTTCCGATTGGTCAAGAAAGACACTATTTCTGGTACGCCGGTGAAGGGGAGATGCTTTGACGTTACCGGAAGTGAGGAAAGGCACCCAGGGGTACTCTGACTCAGATGTTCATTGGCCGCACAGAAGGGAAACAAACGTCAGCAAGGTGTACCACACTTTTCAGACACGTTTGCAGTCCGAACAGTGCTCTAGCTAACTACCATTACATTGTGTGACTATCTGCTGGCAATAGGGTACTGGAAATCACGCAACACATTCATTGATCTTCATTTGTCAAAACCTCTAATCCCTCTCTCCTAACAGCACTGATTATCAAAGATATAGTACGGTCATTGCTGTACAGAGAGTGACAAACTCGCGCATACAGTGACTCGCTGCCGGACTTTTGGTTGTGAAGTTGGGCTTACTTTTTACATTTGCAACGAAGCATCGTCATTCAAGTTATGCCTTCGGAATTATTTAAGGTGTAGGCATTTCTTTAAAATAACACATCTCATACCAACTTACCCTAGGGTGTATTAAGTGTTTGCATTGCATTGAATTTACACTGTCTTAATTGGGCCTGGAACGTCCGTGATGGCTACGGCTAACTGGAGAAGCCCCTCTAAAAGATATTCTCGGCGGTACATATATGCGACCTTATGACCCAAATTTTTGAATGAAAACAATGCCTCATATTTCACCCATAGCAGAACAAAGCAAGTGACATGAATATTGATATGTTTACAATTTTATTTCTATTTTTACAATTTCATTTATATTTGCTACTTTTTACAGATTCTTAGAGATTCTATTCTCAACACAACTACATGGTAGTACAAGCATTGACATGTAAATGATTGGCCAATTCTACCTTGCATCTGTCCACTGACCAATTGGCATGCTGTAAATTACTATGCAAATAATTTAATTAGCATATCCAGAACTGTCAGTTTCATTGAAACAAAGTATTTGTTATTGTTGCTACTGACCAATCAGAACGTCATAAATGCATATGCAAATCATCAAATTAACATATTCAGTACTACAGATACAGTGTTGAATGTCTACATACAAGATCAAACAGAGGTTTTCAAACAAACTGATATTTTCCACTCAGTGAATTTTTAGATACAGGTGATTCTTTTTTTACTCAAAATTTCTAAATTGAACCACTTGCAAGCACCTATAATATAAGTATGTAAGTAACCAATGAAATCATGGTACATATTGACTATATCCCTTCTTTCTGAATGATTACAATGGTTAGAATTATCACATAAATCACTGAGTTGCCTCAACGTCAACTGTAGATAATTATTAGATGGTTGATGGTATATGTCACTCATCATGAATAATAAATTTCAGTTTGGAGCATACAAGTGGATGCAATAAGGATTCTTTTTAAATAAATATACCACTCACAATAACATTCTAGAAAAAAAAAACTTGTTTGCATATTCATTCACCTCTGACAATTAATTTGCATCCAAAAGAAACATGTTCCAGCAACAATTGCAATAGTTATTTTTTCTCTCGGTGATGACAAATCAGAACAATTTTTTTTTCCAAACATGCTGCATCATCAGTTTATATTGGTTTCACTGTCTGATTGTACGCAGTTTAATGCAGTTATTTGTTGTGAAAATCAACAGAAATCAATTACAATAACTTATCCCTGATTGGGGACAAAAACAATACACACCAAAAATGCTGTTTTCAGCAAAATCAAATTAACAAGAGCTATTACAACAGTAAGAAGATAATATACTGGCTTCAGAATGGTACACAATTGTTGCCTAGCAACAACGTAGCCAGTTGGACTGGAATTATAACATGTCAGGTCTGAAAAGTAAAATTGTACTCACAGCTGGCAGAAAATGAATTGAAACAAAACACAAAACTGAACAAAGACATTGATTATCAAAATATAAATGAAAACATTAAATAAGAAAAAAAACCAAAAAAATATAATAAATACATGTTACACAATGAAAACATTAATAAGAAAAATAACAAAAAAAAATATAATAAATACATGTTACACAATAAACTGAGAATAAAGCATGTTGAGAGCTCCCCTGTACCAGCCTTGCCAAGTCTTGGTTGTAAATACATCCAAGATGGCTGCCAGTGTAAGTGAAAGATCCATTCATGAGACTTCTTGTCTCTTGAATAGTTTTCCATTCACACAGGTACAAAATAAATATTAGTACAATCACAGTATGACAAAAGAATGAATTACTGTCATTCATCCATAGACAAAGTACTGTCAAGATTTGCATATTTCTACAACACAAAGTAACAGAGTTTCTCATTGGCTAATGTATATACACAGAATTTCACAGTTTCAAAAGTTATTACAAACGTATCTCAATAGAAAAAATAGTAAAAAAAATACTGTAAATCAGTGATAACTTTGTTCAAAACAAGCACTCAAAATTGGAAGCAATGAACATCCATTAAATTTGTCAAATGAATTCTTTGCTCAACTGATGTGGTTCAATTGGCAAGTAATCTTCGTTAAAAAGAGCCATCATGCTATACAACCATTTCAAAACATCCCTGAGGGCGCTCTAACAATAATTTGTCAAACTGAACCATAGAGGGCGCCCACAGCAATATTTTTACTACTTCGACAGTTATTCAACAGGTGAACTTATGCAGACAATTAAGAAGCTAGTGAAGTATTAGTTCCTTTTTAAATACATTTCACACAAAAGTTTTTTTTCCATTTAAATTCTCAACTGGATGAGTGTGCATATACAACTACATAAAACCACAAACAGTATGGTTAAGGAAGAGCATATGTCTGTCTTCAAACCATTTTTTTTTTCCACAAATAAACATCATGCATTTCAATACTGCAATTTAAATATTACAAAACCATTTTTTTGGAAGTTTAATTATAAATTATTTTGAAAATTCAATAAAGCTATAAAGGTAGCAAAATATTCAGATTAAGAAAGCTGTCTTTTTTTCGTCCTGAAAAATAATAAATTATTCCTTATTTTTGTGCATAATAATGCAAGCATTAGGTCATGGACCAATAAAAAAAACACTGTTACAAAATCAATTTTAGAAATCAGGAAGTAGCCTACTCAAGTTAAAATACATTTCTTTATAACCCGTAACACATACTTTTTTTTTCACAACAGGCTTGTCTTGATTCAGAATTCTACAAAAATTCTATGAAAAAAACATACATATTTATTTTTTTAAGTTACTAAGGGAGTCAATTCGGCTGCCTGTAATTGTCATTTGCATGACAAAGTTGTTTCTGGGTGTACGTGACTAGAAAAATACTCACTCTAGGGAGCTTACACTAAAATCTAATCTATGTTTCAAACTTTTTTTGTTAAAAGATAACATTCATCTCAAACAAATGTAATGATTATGTCTGTTACTTCAACCCTGAGCATATTCACCTATGGTAAGATAACAACAAAGGGACGACATAATCGCATAGCTAATAGCGATAAAGGATTATTACACCATCGAATTTACATAAGTTTTAGATCTACTGACTGATCTGAACTGAGTACTGGTAAGTTTATTAAATACAGGTAGGGAAGTCCAGCGAAAAGTCATATCATAGAACTAGTACCTTTGTTGGTCATAAAGAAACTAGGAAAAGAATTGGATATTTCATACAGATGCATGAATCCCATACTTTTGTTATTGCAGTACTCAAATCATTAATAGTACTTTTACATTTACAATATTTTTGAATTAGTCAAATTTATTTTATTTTTGACTGACACTTAAGATTATAATCTGTCTAATACGAATATAATAACATTTTACAGGAGATTGCTTGCTCATATTTCAAACCATTTTAATTACAAACCAAGCCTTACCTTTATGGAATGCTTATAGGATAGGTGTACATTTATTCAAATATCTTTCTGGAAAAATCCGCAGAGTAAAGACATTACAGTCACAAGGATAGACAATTCCACAACAAACTGGCAGACTCAAACAACACAGTCTTAATATGAACTATAAAAACAAATATCACTTGTGGGTCATTTCAAATTTTGGATGCTGTTATTATACGATGTGGAAAAACTTCTCTTAAGATACCAGAGTATCATCAATTAAAAAATGTCAGCACACAGTATATTGAATAGTAAATACCAAAGCCAAAATCTTTGAATATACTTTTAACTGTCAGTTAAACAATTTTTTCAGTTAAATCAAAAGATTTGTGCCATGAGAGTTCAAAATTATAATCAAAAAAAAAAAAAAAGTATTAAATTTGCACCAATAATTTGGAGGGAAACAATTCTGGCTGTGAAAGTATTAATTGGTTGTACGAAATACAAACCAGGGCATATCAGTTGAAAGTGCTCTTAAAAACTCATAGCACATATAACTGAGGATCGGAAACAACCCAATGTTTAGAAATGTTCAACAATATAATACAATAGTCATTCTGTGGTCCCGTCATAGGAAAATACAGTTATGTGTGCATTATGGAAGACAGACAATTTCAAAATGCAAAATACACTGCGTTAGTGGCAGTAGCTTTCGAATCAGGAGTAATTTTAGTGACATCGTCCAACATTCCACCAAACATGACCAACTCTCCTCTGCCAACCACCAACGAATACAAACTAGTCTCTGGAGGAGGTCCATGCTGGTTTGTAACGGCTGTGGTGATTGGTTGATTATTAGATAACCTAACAGGACCTGCACTGCTTCCTGGGATTTGTTGATGCAACGGAGAACCGGGTTGACTTGATCGGTTACTTCGGACAACCTGACAGTTTGACGAATCAGACGGCGACGAGAGAGGTGTCCTGACTGGTTGCCAAGCGATATACCTATTGTTCGCAACATTTGAAATGTCCAGTACATACATTTGCATAGTATTTCTCGGCCATGCGTTGAATTTAGTCCCTGAATTTGTGCGAAAGTTTTTACGACAAGGTGAACCAAAGGTTTGGGTGCTTTGACGGTGGCCAGGACTCCCTGATCTGTGACTGGGAGAAGTATGTCCATTTTCAGGAATGCCACCAACAGCACCATTCAACTGCAGCGACGGGGAGCTCCTACCAGAGTTAGATCGAGAATCAAATCTATCGTTATCTGGAAGTTCATTTCTAAACGAACAGGCACCAAGCGAATTTAAAGTGGCAGCAGCAGCGGCGGCAGCATCAGCAACAGTTAATGACCTTGTTGGTGAACCATTATTGCTATCTCGATCCTCATACCGACCTCTTGGTGGTCGGAGTACTGAATCGCTAAAACTTCTTGCAGTATTGTCCATTGCGTCACTTCTGGATCGCAAATGTCGAAGTTTAAAGATTCGTGTCCTGGCTGGCGATCCAAAAGACGATGACGAGCTGCTGGACACACATCTAGAGAAACTATTACTACTGCCAGATGCACTAGCTCCTTCCACAGGTGTGGAGCCAAGACTACATCTCCGTGACAATGTACGTTGTGGTGAAAAGTCTCGACTCTCAGAGTTAGCAACAGTTCTACTCGGCATTTCCCAATCTAATAGATTATTTTCTGGGTCTGAGAAAGTCCTAACAACAGGTCGGCGCCGGAGACTGCCATGTCTGGTATGTACTGGCGATTCACGTCCATCAGAAGGCATATTGACTCTCTGTGGAGAATGTTGTCTCCTAAAATCGTGATTTGCAGCATTGGCCCGTGGAGGGGAGGAATGATGTCTGTATGCATTAGCCCGTAGAACAAAATTATTGCCCGTATGAGATCGCTGATGCTGTGGTTTTAGTGGAATGGTAGGGATGCTTGATCTGTTCTTCATACTTTTACTGAACACAACTACACGCTCACCAATCTGATAGAAAGACAAGAATAAATCAAGTACAGTTTGTGATGTGGTGTGATTTGATATACAGTGAAAATACTCTGTTAAACAAACAACTGCCCCATATACATGTATGTATATATATATATTTCCCCTCAGACACGTGTAGCTCTTATTGATTACCCGGATTCTCATAACTTGAATTAACTATGCAATCCGCACTAGATGTCAAACTACAAATAACTGAGGGGAATACCAGAAATACTGAAAAACATCATTTACCGGGTACATAAAAAGTGACTTCCCATGAAAATGATATCAAATTTCCCTTTAAAAGTCTACATGGGAATAAGCACCCCAATATTATTTTCAAAGTTGGTATATGCAAGTAGTTGATGGTCAAAATGCAGCGGAATAATACCGTAAACAATAAGGCAGAGGTGTGAAAGGCTATGAATGTAAGGTCCAGTACAAAACCAGAAATTTCAAAACAGCAACATTGTCTTTTCTTTTTCACCACCTTTTTTCTTTAAAATGACACTCCAAATATCTTGGTTGCATATGAAAAAGTCAAGCAAACGATACATTTCACACCATGATTTGAACTTGATGAATATTTTTTTAAAACAATAGTGTTGAAGAGACCTCAAGATGGATTGTAAATCAAGTTGTTGTAAAGTTATAGGGGCTTTTTTTCGTATAAAGACATTGAACAATTTGATGGGCCATACATACCTTACACGCCGGGTGACACCATAGTTGTGGTGCAGCAAAGTCCTCATTAAGTATATCAACCTCCTGCCACATCCACGGCACAGTGTCCATTCGCAGTACCCATGCATCATTAAACATCTACACAGAACAATCACAAAGAATTTGGTTAAGTATGGAGTTCAAATGCAATTTTTTTTTTTTATAAAATACTGTTAAAATATTCTTATTTCTTAGTAAGAGTGAAGTTAATCGGACCGTGCAGCTTTGTATGAGAATTTGACCTTATTCACTGCAGGTTCAGTTTCAACTGTAATTCTACAATATTTGTGCTATTAATAGTGCATGTGCATATGTAAATGACAGGGACCAATATACATGAATCCATTTTAGTATACAGTTTGTTTTTGGGTTTCAACACATTGCCTAATGAAAGCATCCATGGACACCTGACAGTAAAGGAAAAAACATTGTCGGAGGATAATGTTTTAAGTGTGCCTCTATTGGGAATACAGTATAATCCCCCCCCCCCACCACCACCACCACCCCCACCACCACCACCACCACCACCACCACCACCACCACCACCACCCCCCCAGTAATGCAAATACTGTTAGTCTGATGTTTTAACCAAACAAGCAATCTGTTCTCATGAGATGTGAATTGTAAATTGTAATGCGATACTCCTTAGGCTGCTCAAAATAAAGTGTGAAAGATTATTTCTTTACATTCTGTATAATCTAGCATGATTGTTATTATGATTTCTGCAAACACATGACATTAGTGAATAGACAAGACAATTTAATAATATGTTTTTGGCATAAAAAGTGGCATAAACTTATTTGGCATTGGCACATTTCCCAAAATAAGCATTGTGCGCCCCCTAGTTGCGCGGTATTCTGTGTCATCGAGAAAATTCATACTGAGCCCTATTCTGAGTTCCAGCTTTTTAAAAATGTAAAATCATAGACGGCAACAAATAAACTCAAGTAATCGGTTGGCTATAATTAGGCACAATCGGCAGATGAAAACACCTAAATTGCTCGTTTCCAATGGAGTAACATAACATCGAGTCGGACATATATTTTGTGAGGTCATTATCTGGAATATGATTTGAGTGGTTGAATAAGGTGATGCTAAGAGGATGACAAAATCAGGCCACTGCAAGATAAATGCAGTTACAAACTCACCATATTAGCTCCACCACAGCCACCAAGAATAAGAAGACATCTGTCATTAACAACAACCTGCAAGAACAAATGGCACTGTTTAACACAAAATATTTACTAGATGTGTCTTTTCAGTGATTAACGACATTATTTCAAACAAACTGGATTAATTTGTATTTGACATTGCCTACATTTGTTGATCAGTAGTTTCCTGTGGTATAATTGCAAATAGTTTAAGCAATTTTTTGTATTATCTTTGCTAACAGCAAGGTAGAATTTGTTTGGTTAGCACATATGTGTGCTGAATAAAGTTTTTCATGTACATAGTCCCTTACATAGCTTTTAATAAAAAAATTATCATAGTGGAAACAAATAATTTTTAATCATTTGTGAAATTACATTGACCATTCTGCAGACAATGACTAGTATAAGCATTAAAGTTATTGTTGATTTACTGTCCATGGAGAGTCAAGAAATGGCTACAGTGCAGAAAGCAATGCTCTAGAAGTTCAAGAGAAAGAGTTCTATAGTCTGTATAGACTGCTCCTACATAGATAAATAAATTACTCATATATCTGGCCTCTAGAGGGCACTGTTTATGTATTATTGATGGTGTCATAGGATCTATAGTTTTATGATCGACAGTAGAACACAGTCACACATGGAAAGACACATGGTGGGTAGCTGTCATACAGGTCTCATGCCACTAATCAACCAATAACCGTTTGTATCCCTCAATTTAAATGCCTCGCAAAACCAATAAAATGTTTTAATATTTTTTTCTCAGGTGTGTCAAAGGTTTTTTGTGGTTGATTACTGACATGTTGAATTCCCATTTTTGAGCCTATGTTTTCAACTTTGTTTATCGTTTTCATATAGCAATCTTCTCATATGTTAACATTGACGTCTATTGAGTTTCATTTAGTGGTATGAGCCCTACATTAAATGAGGTCTAGACTGGCCAAGCTTTGACAATTTTATATATATTTTTTATTAAATCGTGGTCTGATGTGAAATTACCATGACTGGTCAATCCTGCAGCATATTCATCGCTATTCAGAAAAAATACCAAACATTTTAATGCTTATAACATTTTTTAAATTTCGCTGATTTACTATTTCAGGCATATTCAGTAGGTTATAAATTCACGGTTTTATCATTCAGATAATGTGTTCTATGCTGAATTTTACATATTCACTGATTTTTAATTTAGGGAATTTTCCAGCTAGCGAAATAAGCAAAATTAAAACCCAGTGAATAATTAACCCTTTTACAGTACCATAAGAATATGTGAATATGTTCTCTGTCATAGCTCCCTAACTTACTGGTTATTCTATATGGAAGGTGACAAGAGTTAATGGAATGAGTGCAAGCATGGAAGGTGCCTATTTCGTAGAAATAAAGGTGCTGAAAATAGCAAGTAATTGTTGACAGTGAGCGACACCATGACTTTTCTCATGGTAAATTAGTTATAATTGGTACATGCACTGTAATGGCGCCTGGCTTGTCATTCATTAAAGTGATTCATTTATGAAAGTATGACTTAATTGGTCTTGTACATGTACATGAGTTTTCTCTCTGTATCTGTGCTTCAGTCTGGTGTTGAAAACTAATTAGTTAAAGTTCAGTTGTTGGTTACTTTATGCCAGCTATGTATGTAGTACGTCTCGGAGAGTGCTTGCTTAGAAAAGTTTCAAGCAATCTGCTTCCATTTTGGGGCAGAGCATTCAATCTAGTGTTGAATACAAAGACTGAAAATGAAACTGCGGACACCGAGATACAGATTTTGAATTCACCTTGTTTTGAATAGTTGTTTTTCATAGTTTTAGGTTCCATATTTCATACAGAATGAAAGCAATGCCAGTATTCTCATGGCAGTGAAAATGTTAGTTTTCTATGTAAAACTGGGTAAAACTTTGAACGACTAAGGATTTACTTTGAAATCAAGGGTGGTTTAACCTAACATTTTTGTTAAATACTATAGTAAAAAGTTCACCGGTCACTGATAGCATAGTGGTTGTCGCTTCAGACTCATGATCGGTAGACCCAAGTTCAAATCCTACCTTAGGCTGAACATCAAAGGGTCAACCCCTACCCTGGGTGAGTGTACTACAGACTCAATGGGAAGGCCAATTCCACTGGCCGAGATTCATTCACTAATGAATGCGATTTTGGGGGAACCTTTGTTAAGGTCCTGGGTGCTTGTGTTCGACCGAGCCTGGTTGACGCCAGGATAGCGCATTAAAATTGCCATTTGACAGAGAGATGGCCACACAGCCCTGTCATGTAGTCCTAAACATGAATATGACTTCTGTGGCAAAATGCACTATGTGTCAGCACTAGCACTTGCAATTTGCACATACAAAAAGAAAAAAAAAGTCAGGAGAGGCAACGGTGACATTCAATGTCCAGAACTGTCGCCTGGCACAAAAATATTTATAAAAAAAAAATGATCACATTCTGTCTTGGTCTAAATTTACATTGAAACTTCAAGTTCAAAATTAAATTTGTGACTGAATCACCCATTTAATAAATGAGGTCTCCCTCACAGTTATGATCAAAGACATTACTATACCAAGCTTTATAATTAGCTGGATTTTAATTTTGTTTATTCCCCTGAAAGCTAAATGCGGTAACATTGATGACTCCAAACGAATAATTAGAAACAATGCACACAAACTAGTATCACTCATGTAAGGGCAAAGGAAATATTTCAAGAGAGAGGGCATAGTAAACTTAAGCCTTTCACCCCAATTGTGTAGCTCCCTCACCTAATTATTAAATGGTTGAACCCTTATATTAATGGCACACACATAAAGCATACAAAAACTCCAACATGTGGTTCTCATACATCATGAACAGTGGTGGCATGACCCGCCGTTATTTGGCAGTAAACTGTTCCTTGTACGTCATCAACATCACTAATGATAACACAGTATGTATATCTCTGACGATGATTACTTTCTGAATAGGAAAATAAATACATCTATTACCGTACCTGTGAGTGTCCAAAACGAGGTCTTGGTCTGATGCCATCAATCTGGACTAATTCCCATAACATGACTTGTATGTCTAATATCCAAACATCATTTGATCTGAAAAGAAAAGGGAAGGATAGAAAATTCTGTATTTAATCTTTTCATCCCCAGAATTTCTCACCCAGATATTTCTGCACTTGTTTCTTATATTCTTCAATATTGCTGGAAATGTACTCAAATTTTGGAGCCAACAGACAAAATTTGAATAAATTTTCAGTTTTTACTCAAAAAATGTGGATATTTTTGACCCAATCTTTTTAAGGAAAGTGCAGTCTACATGTACGTGTATAAACGGGACTATTTTGTCAATTTGTAATAAAAAGAGGATCCCAGTGGTGAAAAGGTTAAGTCACATGTTACAAGTGTAGCACCTTCATGATTACCAGCTGAATACATACATGTACTTCTAACTAGTCAAGTGATTCCTTTTGTGATAGCTTTTACAGGTAAATTGGCCTCCGGATCAAATTTAGATTCATTGTCGAGCTCGAGTGACAGAAGAAATCTAATTAAATAATTGCATGAATCCAGATTTTTCAATGCCTAGTGCTAAATACTAGCGTGTTGCGTAGACGAAATATTGAAGAAACCAAAGTTTTCATGATTGACTTATAATGTTTATTCTACTATTTGGGATTTTTGTTACACATGGATACCCAAGTAATCAGGTGATACATAGCATCATTATAATAGTACCCAATGTAATATCTAGTCACGTATTAGTATTTTTATGTATGCGACATTACGTTAAAGAAGAATCAAATTCATACTACTGAATACATACCTAAGTGGTCAAATGGCCACTAAGCTAGCAGCAGTAACCAGGAAATGAAATTATGATGTGTTACATGCTGCTGAATACAAGCCTAGGTGGTCAAATAGCCACCTAAGCTAGCAGCATTAACCATGAAATAACGTTATGTGTTACATGCTACTGAATACATGCCTAGGTGGTCAAATGGCCACTTAAGCTAGCAGCAGTAACCAGGAAATGAAATTATGTGTTACATGCTACTGAATACATGCCTAGGTGGTCAAATAGCCACCTAAGCTAGCAGCATTAACCATGAAATAACGTTATGTGTTACATGCTACTGAATACAAGCCTAGGTGGTCAAATAGCCACCTAAGCTAGCAGCATTAACCATGAAATAACGTTATGTGTTACATGCTACTGAATACATGCCTAGGTGGTCAAATGGCCACTTAAGCTAGCAGCAGTAACCAGGAAATGAAATTATGTGTTACATGCTACTGAATACATGCCTAGGTGGTCAAATGGCCACTTAAGCTAGCAGCAGTAACCAGGAAATGAAATTATGCGTTACATGCTACTGAATACATGCCTAGGTGGTCAAATGGCCACCTGAGCTAGCAGCAGTAACCATGAAATAAAATTATGTGTTACATGCTACTGAATACATGCCTAGGTGGTCAAATGGCCACCTAAGCTAGCAGCAGTAACCAGGAAATGAAATTATGATGCGTTACATTCTGATGAATACATGCCTAGGTGGTCAAATGACTACCTAAGCTTGCAGCAGTAACTATGAAATGAAATTATGTGTTACATGCTACTAAATACATGCCTAGGTGGTCAAATGGCCACCTGAGCTAGCAGTAGTAACCAGGAAATGAAATTATGATGCGTTACATTCTGATGAATACATGCCTAGGTGGTCTTACCTCTGATGGCCACATAAGCCACCAAATATAATCATCTTGTCTTCAACAACACTGGCTGCGTGACTGGCAACCGGTGGTGGAGTGGGAGTAGTGACGATAGCACACCATTTATTCTCACTTGGGATGTACATGTGAAGCTCATTGAAGAGTCTTGGAGCTTGGTGGAGAGGATATGGTACAGGAGGAGCCCAACCTCCAAATAACAGCAATGTGTCTTTGTAAGAGACCATACTGGCACAGGCTTTTGGAGACGGATACATACCTAGAAGTAGAAAGAAAACAAATTGTCCAAAATTAGATTTGCATATTTTTCGATATACCATTTTCTGTCTTTCTTGAAATACCATGTTGTGCATAAAATAGAAAGTATGTATATACATGTACAGTTAAAAATTTGATTAAATAAAGGAAATAATCTCAGTGCCATGTTCCTCGTTGAGAAGATTTTTGTCGTTGAACGACAATCAAATTAATTCAAGTTCAATTTTCTTGTTTTAATGTCAGATGTTTGATCTGCACAATATTACATTTGCTTTGAGATAAATCTGACAGAAAATCAACGTTTACGTAAACATTTCTACGAAATGAAAAAGTCTTTTGTTAATAAATACAATGTATTTTTTGACCACAGAATCATATAATTGTATGTACCATTATATTTTCTAAGCAAAATATTTAAAATCTAAGCGAAGACGTGAAGATTTATCTAGCTTCTCTGACACTAATTTGCCATTTTATTATAAATGGATAATTTCACTGAGAATGGTTTTCCACGCACGAGTTGTACAATTGAGATGGACAGGTGTAATTAGTTACAAGAGTAATATATTATTATAAGCCGTGACAATAATGAAAGTCAAGAACTGATGTGCTGTGTATACTGCCCTCTATTGGTTAAACATCTAATAACTGATAAGACAGTCAGGTGTGACTATATTATGTCTGTGTGTCTTACACTACACTGTAAACATTTCACTGGAAATTTAAATCTGTGAATGTGTAAAAAATTTTACAGGAATATCTGGTGGATATACGCTTGATACTAAAATTACATACTAGTATGTAAATTAATGCCTTTACAGTAATGTCACTACTCGTATTCACAATAAATATTGAAATACTGTAAACATGTATGCTCTATTAAATATGCATGTTAATAGAAGCACATAGAAACCCCAAATCACAGTTGTTGTAACCTGAATCGATATAAAATAATATTTATTTTGACCATAGAGACACCTCTGTAATTTACACAAGCCCACTGGCTACTAATAGAGCAAATACAGTAAGCCAAATATTATAGGTTACATAAACATATATGTATGTACATTGTAACAGAAAGTTACCAATTCCCCTCCCCTACCAATAATTTTAGATAAACCATAGACGTAATTATTATAACCATGGAGATGATTAATACATTAATTCTTTATTCCAGAAGAGAACATAATATTGAAAAGACAGTGTGCATTATATCAATCCATAGTTATACAAGTATATCTTTTCTATAACAGTCTAATTAGCTGCATTTATGTTCATGAGAAAAAGAAAGGTCACTTTTTTACTTTCCATCCAAGTACTGCAACAATCAGTATACAGCAAAAATTTATAAAAAAAGTGAATCTTCAAGAAACAGCAATGAATTTCAAATTTGAATTATTTTCATGGTGTCTGAAGCATTGTCAATTGTTTTTGTTCACAATCTGATTGTGTTTAATACTTACAGTTTCAATTGTGAATTCGTTTTAAATCACGTTCTGATGCCTGAAGATTTGTTTCAGTTCTAAATTTGGTTCTGCATTCAATGGTAATTCAAAACAAAGGCAAATTCTTAAATATTTTGTGCAATTTTTCCGAACACGTACCATCAAATACATGTACATGTATATTACATAATAGACCCCAATGCTCCAGGAACGGTACAAGTATTGCGCAACTTACATGTATATGTATGAAACAATGTAAAATGTAAATACCAGCCAAGTTTAAAATTCATATGAACACACCATTTTGTGCAATTTCATTACATACCATTATACATTGTACCTGTATGTAAATGCACTTCTACACTATTAAGACTTGTAGGGTTTAAAAAAAAATTATCCCAACCAGATTGAAGCGACTACCGTACTAGCGATTACACAACACTATGTATAAAAGAACAGAAAAATTCTTTTCACACCTAATATATACAGCGAGTAGGGAACTAAACCGCGATTACGAGCATTCTGTATTAAATAAAACCTGTCCTTTCAAATCTAGTCAATGCATTTAGTACAAAAAGATTAGTTTGTTACTCAGCTCAAAGGATGAGTTATCAGCATGAAAAACTGGGTTGAAATAAGTGAATAAATGTGAAAAAAAACTAATTATGGCTCCCATTCTACAGAGCACTGAAGGTGAAAAGAATAAATTTATAAGTGTTTCTTCAGACACAAGTTTTTTCCCATCAACTCACTCAAAACTCAATATAGATTAACAACCTGTATTAGATGCGAGACTGTCACCATCGTAATTTATTGTTTTGTACGCTCCAAGTACGTCAAGCAGCTCAGCAGGGACCTGAAGCTTGCTACAGGGAAGCTGATTGTTTTTAGAAGATAGATGTATATGATTTTTAATATGTCTCTTTATCACAGTAATTATTAATGGCCAAAAATCTGGTAATGTTTCTGCTTCAAAAATGTAAAAGGTTATCATTTATGGTTTGTTTTTTTATGAGAGAAAATGTGTTGCTTATTTGTGTGAAGATATCATGTACAAGAGCACAGAGCACAGAGTTACACACCTCAATCTGAAGAGTCACATGACACGTAATTGTAATTGTAAATTTTAGGTGTAGTCAATACAAATACAAGATGTTATTGATCAGAGTGGCTCATAATCATCTATAGTCTATAAATTTCAAAATACAAGGCATTGTAAGTTAGCAGAAAGCCTTTAAATCAGCTGAAAGTCATTGCAAGTTAGGAGAAAGCCTTGAAAATCAGCTGAACGTTATTGCAAGTTAGCTGAAAGCGATGAAAATCAGCTGAAAGCCACTGCAAGTTAGCAAAAAGCCTTGAAAATCAGCTGAAAGCCACTGTAAGTTAGCAAAAAGCCTTGAAAATCAGCTGAAAGTCATTGCAAGTTAGCAGAAAGCGATGAAAATCAGCTGAAAGCCACTGCAAGTAAGCTGAAAGCCTTGAAAATCAACTGAAAGCCACTGCAAGTTAGCAGAAAGCCTTGAAAATCAACTGAAATCCACTGCAAGTTAGCAGAAAGCCTTGAAAATCAACTGAAAGTCATTGCAAGTTAGCAGAAAGCCTTTAAATCAGCTGAAAGTCATTGCAAGTTAGGAGAAAGCCTTGAAAATCAGCTGAACGTTATTGCAAGTTAGCTGAAAGCGATGAAAATCAGCTGAAAGCCACTGCAAGTTAGCAAAAAGCCTTGAAAATCAGCTGAAAGCCACTGTAAGTTAGCAAAAAGCCTTGAAAATCAGCTGAAAGTCATTGCAAGTTAGCAGAAAGCGATGAAAATCAGCTGAAAGCCACTGCAAGTTAGCAGAAAGCCTTGAAAATCAGCTGAAAGTCATTGCAAGTTAGCAGAAAGCGATGAAAATCAGCTGAAAGTCGTTGCAAGTTAGCAGAAAGCCTTGAAAATCAGCTGAAAGCCACTGCAAGTTAGCAGAAAGCGATGAAAATCAGCTGAAAGCCACTGCAAGTTAGCAGAAAGCCTTGAAAATCAGCTGAAAGTCATTGCAAGTTAGGAGAAAGCCTTGAAAATCAGCTGAAAGCCACTGCAAGTTAGCAGAACGCCTTGAACATCAGCTGAAAGTCAATGCAAAGTTAGCTGAAAGCCTTGAAAATCAGCTGAAAGTCATTGCAAGTTAGCAGAAAGCCTTGAAAATCAGCTGAAAGCCACTGCAAGTTAACAGAAAGCCTTGAAAATCAGCTGAAAGTCATTGCAAAGTTAGCTGAAAGCCTTGAAAATCAGCTGAAAGTCATTGCAAGTTAGCAGAAAGTGATGAAAATCAGCTGAAAGTCATTGCAAGTTAGCAGAAATCCTTAAAAATCAGCTGAAAGTCATTGCAAGTTAGCAGAAATCCTTGAAAATCAGCTGAAAGTCATTGCAAGTTAGCAGAAATCCTTGAAAATCAGCTGAAAGTTATTGCAAGTTATCTGAAAGCTTTGAAAATCATCTAAAAGTCATTGCAAGTTAGCTGAAAGTCTTGAAAATCAGCTGAAAGCAAATGCAAAGCTGAGAACCTTGAAATTCAACAGAAATCCACAGTAAAGTAGGCTTAAAGTATTGAAAGTCAGCTGAAAGCCACTGACATTCTTCACCAAAAGCAAGCTTTGAAAGCCAGCAGAGTTTGTATATATACCGGTAGGTTGCAAAATTGGCAATTATTTGAGGTTATGTATAACAAGAATGTTGTTGTGAAAAGGATCGTTATTATAATAATAACATAATAGTACACATATCCACCATTATATCCTCGCATTGGAATGATGTCATTATACGTATTATAATTACACTTGTCTGGGCCATTTTAATTTGCTCTCACTGTGTATGCAATATTTCAATCTTGTTTTTTTCATCAAGCAATTTGTTTTTTTTCATCAAAGAAAGCTAAATTTCCCTCAACTACTAATATTAGCCAGTCCAATTGCTGTCACGTACGTACATTGTGTATATAACCTATTTCAGAGAGTGATCATAAATCACTATTATGTCAATATTTTAATCTATAACGGAAAGAGGCACTGATTGTCGTCAAAGTACGTCAAATCAGCAACAGCCAATACCATGCAACAGAAAGTGAGACTTGCAATACAATACAGCAGATGTTTTTTTAGAAGTCATTAAAATTTGATATCTACTGCTTTATAACCCAAATCATAAGATTGCGATAAATGCTTTGCCATAAAAATGTCTTTATGATCAATAGCTATAAGAGACTAATATTGATTTTCATTTTCTTCAAAATAGCGGTATTTATAAACGCTGTGAAAGATTTCACTCAACAGACCATGTGTTTATTCAATAGAGGTAAGAATTGTATGTAAAGATTGATGTATTTGTATAATACCTTGATAATTGCCGCTGTCCCAATTTTATTGTAAGCCATTTTACATTAAACTGCACTGATTTATTTCATTTGACAAGTGAACAGTCTATACCTCACCACTATTGTTGGCCTTGTTACCTTCCGCCTATTTCTCAAGTTTTTCATCTTGCTCTCCATGCTAGTCCTGATATGTTGCCTAGATTTCTCTC